CTGAAACCTCTATGGAGGGCCCTTCTTGGTCTCTTCCATTTCCTGGAGGCCCAAGCATTTCTTGGTTTGTGGCAGCATCACTCCAATTTGCCCATCTTTCCTCTGTGTCTAAAAAATTATATAGTGGATGCTTGCATCAGTGGAATGAAGCCAAAGAACATGTATGCATAACTCGTAGACACAGTCAACAGTGTGGTGATGGCCAGAGGGATGGGGGTGAGGCTGGGTGGAGGTGGGCAAGGGGGGGGGGGCAGCGGTAGGGACAGCTGTAATAGTGTAACAATAAAATATAAGTAACATTTTTTGAACCTGAAATTGCATCAAAATTGAAAAGTTATCAAAAAGTATTAGCATATGAAAAGTGGTATTTGCTTATTAAAATGCCATTAGGTACCTCTCATGAAAATTTAATTATTAGTGTGTTAGAGATTTATTACTAAATGAAACAATTGATAAGTATATTCACTGACACTAAATTGTTACATAAAGTAAAAGAATATTTATTTGTTTTTATGTCACCTGATAGGCAGTAAATAAGATTCATATTTGGGAGGAATGAGATATTTGAATTCCATTTTCAGTACTTAGGACATAGTAGGACTAGGACGAATTGGAAGTCAGGCAGCCTCCCAGTTTGAATAATTAAAGAGGAAATGTGATTAGGGCTCCCAGTAGGAACTAGTCCCCAGTTACAGAAAACATTTGAGAAGTTTCTGTTGATTTTGCATATATAACATTGATTACTTTCATTTTCCTGATGAAAACCAATCACTGTGTAATTGATTGATTTTCCTGAAGCCACATTGAATAACTTGCCTCAGCGTCTGTATTGTACAAAGATAATATTTTTTGTTGTTGAGCTGTTCTTACTAACGCTACTTTAACTTAATTTGGAATTTCTTGTTTTATTTAGACAAAGGATAATCACTTCTGTCAGTGTAAGGAATTTGACCTCTGGTGATTAAGTATAGGAAAGTAAAACCAAGAAGGTATTTCACAGACACACACACACACACACACACACACACACACCCCTTAGGTCTTAGACATCAACTTTAAATGAGTTCTCTTGAATCATAAAAATGTATGTATGTCTTCCATCTATTCTCTCAATGTACTTTTTTTACACACCCAATTCCTAATCATATGTTTTTATAAAGGATAGCATTTGGTAATTTTAAAATGTTACTTAAGATTTAGTAATTTTGTATAGTGATTGCTAAAGTTATTGTTTCATAAAATAAGTGCAGGTTTGAATATTCTTTGTCCTATATTTGAAAATCTAGTCTAAAATCCTCAACTTGCTCTATTTCTCATACCCTGAAATAAGACAACTGTGTACACAATCAAATGTGCAAACCAGCACATGAGGAAATTAAAGTTACTGTTTACTGTGGGCATCCTCATTATGAGCCGTGTATCCAAGGAGACAATATAATTAACATGCACACCTATTCTGGAGCACTTTCCTCAGGCTTTTATAATTATAGCTGAAAAAATCATATAGTGGACACTTATGTATGGAGTAAAATTTTAAATGTTAGAAAGAACATTTTAAAAAAGATATTTAAGAATGCCATGTCTTGGGAGAGAAAAATACTATTTTAGGACATGTTTCAAATTCTAAACTAAAAATGGACATTGTCAAGAGTGATCTTTTTATTGATTTGAATTATTTCTTAGCTCTTGCTTTACAAAGTTGAGAAAATCCATTTTATGTTCCTGATTGGTTCAAAGTGTGTGTTTTTTCTTTTAAGTACTAACACAATACCTTATAAATGCTACTAATTCCCACCCCCTGGAGCATTTCCCTTTCTGTATGCTAGAAATGAGACCATCCTGATGATACTAAGAGAAGTCTGACATTTCTAGGAAACATCCTGATTTGAAAATCATCAGCGTCTTATTTCCAATGGGATCCACTAACAACTATAATTGCACATTACCTTCTAAGTTAGTCAGTCTAAGAATAATAATCAGCTATGGATCTTATCAATGGTGTTTTTTAAAAATAGATATACAATTTCAGAATTATAATTCAAGAAATACAGCTTCTCCAGGGATCCTTTAGGATCTGTGTTGTTATTGCACATGGCCAGCCTGTCTATGGACATCTACCAATACCAGATGGCCTGAGAGGTGGGAGCAGAGCACCAGGACCAGGGCCTGTTGGGCACTCTAGCCCACAAAGCAAACAAGAAAGAACAGAGGGAGGGAGGAAGAAAGGAAGGGAGGGAGGGGGGAAGACTAACTTTCATAAATGTCATTGTGGAGCTAAAAAAAAACTTTCCTTCACTTTCTAAGTTCTTCTAGCTGGGCTAATAATCAAATTAACACAGACATATTCAAAGGAGAACATATCCAAAGTTTATTATATGAATGCACATTCGGTAGTGCCATAAGAACAGAGACCCAAAGAAGTACTGGGCAGCTGAGGTTTATATGCCATTCTAAAGCCAAGGAAAAGGGTGGTTGTGATTTGGGACTTCAAAGGGCAGGAAGGCAATTCATAGGGAGACAGAAGACAAATGTTCGATAAATAAATGTTTGCTGGGCCATCTTTATCAATGAGATGCAGAGAGAACTTGGAAAAATGGGTTTTGTTAGCTTCCTTTCTGCCTGTCACACACGAGTTTATGTGAAACTAGTTATTTGTGAGGCTGTCTTCCTTCCTGGAGCAGGTCCTCTATCTACATTTGTTTCATCAGTCGAAGGGGATGTGAAAGGTTTTTCCTGAGTCCTTTGTTCCTTTATAACCCATCTTAAAAACAATATACCCAGAGGCAAACTTTGGGGTGGCAATCTCTGCTTCCCTTCATCATCCATATGGAAAGACTGAAGGCAGGAAACATACATATGCATATAGTGACTTTGTAATATTATCTCTACACCCTTGAAAGGAAAAGTCAGGAAACTTAGTTTAAAAACTATTATGAAAATTATAATTCTTTGCTTCAATTTTTAATAATTAGTTTAAGTCAGTGTTTGGCTCCTTATTTTCCATTTATTTCAATAAATCTTTGTTAGTACCTAGTATGTGTCAGGCAGTGTAATAAGTGTTGAGAATATAAAGAGGAATAAGACGTGATCTGGGATTAGAAAAGTCTGACTTCTGTGCAAGGAATTATACCTGGTAATTTAGCAGCACAGCCCAGTGAGTGATTAATGGGGTGAAATTTCAATGAATGAGTCCAGAAAAAATATTCAGAATCATGTTTCACTTTCAGACTTTCTCTGAAAGAGCCCCATTACTTCTGAAAGAATAGACATGTTCCTCCAAGTGTCCTACCTCTCTCAAGTAGCTCTCCTAGTTATTTTTGTTGTGATGGATAATAAATGGCTCTTAATTAGATTCACCGTTGCTTTGTGCCCAGATTTTTGGCATAGATAAGAGTCTATCTGAAATGTGTATGCATTGGGAAAAAGAATTACTTGATTATCTCCCACCTATTAGTATTGAAATTGGTAACAACACCATAATGGTTTGTGCCTTAATTGATTCTTTAATAATTGATACTTGGGTACATATGTAAAATCTTATTCTCATGGTTGGAGACTAAAGGAGTGAAATTATTAGCAAAGTCTACTTCAGAACAGTGCCTCAAATAATTACTTTTCAAACTCTAAATAAAAAAAATGAAATCAAATGCCCTAAGAAAATAACATGAAGTCTTTGGGATCTTAAAATTGCTTGCTTTCCTTATGTAAATGAAAATCTGAAATAAATAACTTGATTTGTTCACATAAAGGGGTATCTTTCTATGGGTATAGAATGTGTAATGTAATAAACTCTAAATGGTGAGGTAAGCAGCTTAGCTTATCTGATGGGAAAGTATTAAGATATGGGACATTATACAACTTTTGCGTACTTTTTGTTTGCTTATAATATATTTAGAGCAGTCTTTTGGAAAACCTAATGTGTAGGATATTTATACATACACATATATGAGCGTGCGCGCGCACACACACACACACACACACACACACACACGCGCGCGCACACACACACACAAAAGGCAAACCTCCACATTTTAATATATTAAATTATGAATGTGACAACATTTTATGTAAAGTTATGAATTTGGATATTATATGAATGATAGAACTATATTTATATTGCAATACAGATGCCTATTCACTAAAAAACAACAAGGGGACACTTGGCATTTGTTTGGCCTCAGCTTAACGACATGTTATGGGTAGGTGTATGGGAAATCTTGGACACTGGGAACGTGTTCATGTCTTGCCCTTGGAGAAAATATGTAAACCATGCCTAATCCATTGTATGGAGCTCATTAAACAATGTAAAGCAATGGTGATAATTTATGTGACCAGGCTTTTTAGATAAAAAGCACATTGATCATTGTATTTAAGCTGAGATGGCAAAGGGTGGAGCAGGTGTGCTCAGAGATGTTTGATGGAGGGCCCTTTGAAGCTAAAGGATTTGTAAGAACCATATATCATATATTCCATTTATTAGTGCCTACAGATTATGCTTTTTCTTAGAAAAGCTTCTGGAAAAACGAAAGCCTTATGAAAACATCATGGTGTGAGAACAGCTCTGAGATGAGTTTCTGTGGAGAGCAAGGAGCATGAAGATTTTATAAAATAGTTTGGGGAAGATCAAAGTTCGTACAAGAGTTTTCATTTGGACTCAGCATCCATAAGGTTTTGAGAAATAAGACAGGCTGTATAGGGGTAGCCAGCACACTGGCCTGAGTGGTTCAGTAGCCATGGATTTGATATTTTTGAGTTTAGCAAGAGGGATGGGGAAAAGTAGTTGGGACTCAGGTCTTTCAATGGTCAGTTGAACATTTTTAGACTGTCAGATTTCTCAAAAATATTTAATGTGTTTGTCATAAAAATAATTCCAGTATTCTATAGGATTGTATCTGATGTAAACTATTGTGTACCTGTTTTCCGACTAAGATAGAAATGAAAGGATTGACCTATCTATGTTAACAGTATACATACGTTATATTTGTTTTTTTCACTTACAGGCTGGAGCCAATGTCCTTCTCCAGGATGTTAATGGAAACATACCATTGGATTATGCTGTAGAAGGGACAGAATCAAGCTCTGTTCTATTGACGTATCTGGATGAAAAGGGTAGGCTGAGCTTTGAAAAACTGTAGAGAGATAGACAAAGAGATAGGTTGGTGGCATTATAAGTGTACTTATTTTTTGGGTCTTCCTACATGATTTTCTATTGATACGATTTCCCTAGATTGCATAAAATGAATTATGTTTCTACATTGCAATTCACTTTCCTACTGCAATACATTGTTGGTTTAGTCAATGCAGTTTTGCAAGCCAGCAACATTCTAGAGGCCAACAATGAAGGAACATTTTAACAAGCATTTAAAATCCATAATTAGAGGGACTGGGCTTGCAATTATAATCTATTCTCCACTGGGAGGAGAAGGGAAGTGAACCAGCACAACTGAATTTTGAGTTAATGAGAGTAAGGTCATGTGAAGTGTATTCTCTTAGGAGCCATGGTCCTCTTAAGAATTATTACTGTGGGTACGTCAGGGCATAAGTCAAGGGCAGTTTGCACGGGCATCTCAGCATCCACTCTTGGTGACACTTGGCAACAGAAACATTGTCAGAAGAATGCCCATGATCATGGTGCTGGCCTGCAAAGATGCAGCTGAGGGCTCAGATGTATTTAATGCAAAGAACAGTTAATTGCACAGACCCAGGGTATAATTTCATGAGTAAGTTCAACATTGGCAAAGTGAGAGGTGTTTGAAATCTTTAGCTTGATATGGTATTAAAATAAAGAAGTATGTCCCCTCTTTTATTTTTCTCCTTTATGATGTTTAGGAAAAAATAAAAACAATTAAATTATAATCCCTTCCAATATGGTGTTTTGTCAAAGAAAAGGTTTAAAAATTTTAAGAGCCTCATCGTGCTTGTGACTCTATTCTCACCTCTAAGAAAAGCCCGCACACCTGCCTCTTTGTTTCCTGTGCTCTTTGCCTCCTCCAGATCGCTTGTCCCAGAGGGTTTATTGTGAGGATGGTTTAGGATAATAATAATAATTAGGACTCAGCAGCTATGAGTTCTTAAAAACAGTCTCATTAATTCTGAGAGCAAGGTAAAAGCCACTATTTTCATTCCAGTGAATGTGAGCCTCGCTGTGCTGCTGAAGGTCACTGAGTCATGGCCTGGGTGACAGAGCAGCTTGGGTGCAGGCGCTGTGGTATAGTCAGTCCTTCACATTACGTCTCCCTCAGTCCTTGTACCTACCTGCTCCTACCTGAGGAAAACCCTGCGTTCTTCCCATCTTATTAACTATGACTTTGAGACTAATTACTTCTAAATGGAATGAGCTGAAAGTTATGGGCATTCCATGTTGGGAAGCTTTATTATTTGCACAGCTGCAAAGTTTAACCTGTGGTCACATGATTCTGAACTGACATGAACCTGACTGTCTTTTATTTAGCTGTGCCAGTTCTAAGTTATGTTTTCCTGCTCTTCTTACTGTTCTTAATTTTTAACAGCCATCATGATAAATGTTTTTCTCTGGAAACTAAAGTTAACTATCTTTATTTACAAAAGAATTAACATCCAATATAATAAAGAGCTAATATGCTAATTAGACCAAACAGCCAGACAACCTTCCTGACAACCCTCTGGACAACCCTCCAGACAAAGCCGGTGCTTCGAGGGCTGAGGCAGCCGGGGCTGTGAGGGCCAAGGCAGCAGCTGCTGCTGCAAGGGCCGAGCCCTTTGCTCGAATTTTGTGCACCGGGCCTCTAGTTACTTATAAATATCTTCAACTCATTAAAGGTTTTTGTCTCATAAAAAGTTTTAGTATTTTCTAAAGCAGTATTATCTATTCTGTAGAAATAAAAAGAAGTGTATTCCTTTGAGAGGTTACTTTAAAGAGTGATTAAGAAAAAGAAAAAATGAAAGGAAGGTCCTGACTCTGAATGGTCTGGAGAAAATCTGTCACGGTGATGGCTGTCACAGTTAGTTTGTAAAATACATATTTGCTGGAACAAATTCAATGTAATAGCTCTTACATTTTAAACTCTGTTTTCCATTTGTCACCACTGTGGCACTGGCCTCTGCCTTCCCATCCATCTGCCCCCCTCTCATCTCATTCACAATCTGTTTCCATTTCTGACAGTGTCCCTCCTACTTATCATTTCGGCTGCCACACTTCCTATAAATACCAGCTAATTTGATGTATTCTCCCCTTGTTGGTGCCCCTTTAGAATTATCTGCTGTGACAGCATGGGCCGATGTCCCTAGAAATTTCTAATATTATGAGATGAGATTTTTATTGTTATTTAGCACCCAGTATTTCAGCACTGCATTCTTATAACCAGGCACCTGCAATCCTTGGATTTTCAACCCGCGTCATACAGTTTCAAACCAGAGTACTTATTGTGCTGTCACACCAGGTCACATGTGGCAGGAGGCAGTCCAGGTTGTGAGCAAGTTGATTACATGGAAAATCACTGGTTACAAGTTCTAATTGTACTGTCACCACTGACATACACTATACCTGGGCACAGCAATTAACCTCTGCTCACCGCCTGAGCTGTCTGGGCTGGAAAGTGAGGCAGCCACGGAGGGCTGATTGAGCAGGTGATGCATATTAGATCTCCAGTGCAAAGCAGACCAGCTGGTGTTCAAGGAAATCAATCGATTATAAAATGAGCCAGCATAGAGAGAAAGCAGTACAGGAAGAGCTCAAGGTGGTCCAGGACAGATAGATGCTCACCATGAGGGGAGGGAGTACATATATCTTGGTGTATATGTATACATAGATATACATTCAAGTCCCGGAAAAAGAAATAAAAACAACTTTGCTCAACACATATCATTGCACTGTGCCCTTTCTCCTTCATTCCAAATCGATCATTTTTAAAAAGTAGCCCACCTTTATTCTCCCGAGTTCCTAATCTCTACTCAGCCCACACTCCCTACCAATCCACTGGGAAGGTCCATGCCACCATGTGTCGCCCTTTTTGGTTCTCCATCCAGTGGTCACTTTTCTGTTCTCTAGTACCTCATCTCTCTGTGACAGCTGATGACCTTGATCACACTCTGTTACGGAAACTCTCTCACCTGCAATGACCTTTCCATAGTTTCCCCTTCTATTCCAGCTTTTACTTAGTTTTCTGCAGACACCAAAATGTGGGTAGTTCCCAGGGCTCTGTCTTTCAGTTTGTCTTCTTTTATCTTCCCAAACTACCCTGGCTTATCTTGCCCTCTTCTTTGTGTTGTTCCCACCTGCCTGTTCCCAAGAATGTTCCTATAGCTTAGATATCTTTCAAGACCTGCAGGCTTGTATGCTCAGTTTTCAGTCTCTTGATTTGGATATCAGAAAATTTGAAATAACTTGTCTACATGGAACTTACCCTTTCATGCACTCTATATATGTTATATTTTATCATAACAGCCAGGAACCCAAGTATCTGAACATCACTTTTCATCTCCTAAATCCCTCACATCCAATTGTCACCAAATCTGACAGAGTCTGTTTCCTGGACATCTGACCTTTGATATGCCCATATCTCTCACTAAGTTTGCTATTAGTATCTTAGTGAAAACTCTGGACTTTCTTTTTTGTTTTTATTTTATTATCACTTTTGTTAATCCTTACCTGAGGATATTTTTTTCCCATTGGTTTTTAGAGAGAGTGGAAGGGAGGGTGAGAGGGTGAGAGAGAGAAACATTGTTGTGGGAGAGACCCATTGATTGGTTGCCTCCCACATGCACACCTTGACCAGGGCCATGGATCGAACCTGAAAACCAAGTACATGTCCTTGACCAGGAATTGAACTTGAGAACATTTGGTGTGAAGGCCTATGCTCTAACCGCTGAGAAAAACCAGCCAGGGCAGTCTTTCTATTTTGGAACAGTCTTGGAAACTGGTCTTCTCACCTCTAGCCATTTCTGTTTATTCTTCAGAGGACTCTCAGATTAATCAGTCCACAAATAACCTTATCTATTTATTCTCCTTATTAAAGTTCATTCAAAATGCTGCCCTTAAACCAACCTCTTCAGAATCACCCAGAGTCAGGGTGACAGTGCATCCCTTTTGCCTAGGACAGTCCTACATTGTGCCTGTAGTCAGGGTGGAGGAAAGGGGTTGGGTAGAGGGTTACAGTGCCCTTTTGGCTTGAACATGTTTATTTATCTTTGCTAGAACCAACTTTCTTTGCCTGCTCAACTCTTTTGCTTCCTACAAGTCTTGGCTCTCTTAGGAAACTTACTATGGAGACAAAAATTGGCGTTAGATTCACTTGTAGGAGCTTAGTGGAGAATATTGTGCTAAAATCATGAAATGAATCATTTCAGAGTCAGCATAATAGTAAAATTATCTGTAATAGTATCATAGAATAGCCCCAATACATAATAGATAATGGAGTAAGTAAAAAGTTGAATTGTTAAAAAGACAATGTTACCTGATAAGGGACAGTTAATGAAAGTAAAGGTAGGGTCCAGATTGACTTGATGTGTTAATGTAGTTTCAGTTTTGCAGACAGGCCTCTGACCTCACTGCATGGGATGCAGCTTCTGAGACCTAACATTACTTATATTATCAAATGTATTCAAGTGATAGTAATCAGTATCACATGTACATACTGTTAATTAAACTACAGACTTTATTCAAATTCTTTCCATTTTTCCAAAGATGTATTTTTTAAATCTATTCCAAGATAGATTGCTTTTAGCAGCAACTATTTTGGCCAGAACAATCATAAAGAGTGAAAACTGTATCTTTATACTTTCTTGTAATTTAATTTAGGTACTTTAAAATACTTTCGGCAGTGTGTGTTGATTTATACTAAAGCCAATATCCATTATGAACCTGCCATATGTAAGGTATCGTATCATGAATTTGGGATATAATAAGAGGGAAATTATTCAACACCACCCTCTAGCTGGAAATAGAATGCTTGCAAGAGAAATAATTACATATAGCACTTTGAGTGAGAATTCAAAGTGAAGAGGGGCTTCAAAGACGAACACGTTGGACGAATATAAGATGAAACTATTTTCACTCCAGCATCTGAGAAGCAACTCTACATTCTGTTTGAAAGGCTCTTTTCCCCCTAGGGGTGGATCTGACCTCCCTGCGCCAGATGAAGCTTCAGAGACCCATGAGTATGTTAACCGATGTCAAACACTTCTTATCATGTGGAGGGAATGTTAACGAGAAAAATGATGAAGGAGTAACACTGGTAAGTTAATATACTTGACTCAGAAATATTGCTTAAGCGGAGAATTTAAGTTTATTTTTAAGACATAGAAATGACTATGATTAAATAATGTATTTTTGATTACAAAAGTAATATATATTCATTGTAGAAATTTTAGAAAGCACATAAATATTCAAAGGAAAATACAAATCACTTATGCCACCACCCAGAGAAAACTGATGTTTATATATATGTTGATATATTTTCTTCCAAGCTTCCTTCTTATGCATGTTTCCCCTACAAATTTAGAAGATTTTTTTTGCATCTATTTGTCACTGTGATTTCAGAGATGAAACTTACAGGATAATGTTTTTATTTTAATTTTAAGCAAAACAAACGATGGCTTAGTCTGGTGAATAAATTTCTAAATTCGAGAAAACATTGCTTTTTATTGATATAAGGCATAGCTGCAGTAAGTTAAAAACAGAACAATTAAATTTGGATTGATGTTTCTATAAATATAAGTTCAGTGATCAAAATATGAACATTTGGCCCTATTGACCCATAAAATTTACCTGGAGTGGGCATGCAGGGCTTAAAATTAATTATGATGGAAATATATGCATTAAAGCTCAGAGAAAATAAAGAAGTAAACTAGGACAGCAGAAAAGAGTATGAAGCTCTGAAACATGGGATGTACCGAAGGGGTTGGAGCCAATGATTTTCTACCATGGAAAAAGTATGGTGTGAGGTTGAACACAGGGGCTTTCAAGCTGAACACTGGTAAGTGCAATGACCCTGAGGCAGGACCAGGTATGGTGTGATTGATACACAACAAGGTGCTAAGTTTGGCTTAGCAGAGAAAAGGAGTGAAGAGAAGTAACTAGGGTCAGATCACACATACTGTGGGTCTATGTGAGGACAGTGGCAGTTACTCTGAGTGAGATGAGGACACATTGGAGAGTTCTGAAGAGAGGCAGAGTGCGATTTTACTTCAGTTCTGAAAAGATCACTCACTGAGTGCTGTGTTAAGGATGGACTGTATAATGGCAAGGGTGAAGCTGAGAGTTCCATTAGGAGCCTTTTCCAGTGATTTAGGAAAGCAATGGTGTGGCTCAGCCAAAGGTGGTAGAAGTTGAGGTGATGAGAAGTAGCTAATTTTAGTCAATATTAAAAGAAGTTCCATAAATTTCCTGATGGAAATGTGGTGTGAGAGAAAGAAAAGACTTCAAAATGACTCCAAGTATTTTTTGCTTGAACAACTTGAGTGATGAAGTTGGCATCGAATGAGGTAGAGAAGGCTGAAGATGGAGCTTAGAGCAGGAAATATCAGAATCAGTTCTGGAAATATAAAGTTAGAAGTGCCTCTTAGCCATATTCATGGAGATGTTGAGTTTGTGGTTGGATATTGCAGTCTGAGATTCATGAAATGTCTGGACTAAAGAAACAATTTGGGGAACATTAGCATATATGTGATCTTGAGAACTCCTGACTCAGATGAAATCATGAATTGATATAGCAGAAAAGAGGATTTGGGACTATGCCTTGGGGCTTAGGCAAAAGAGGAAGATCCAGAAATGAGATGAGAAAGAACACCTCCCAAAGTAGGAGGGAAACCAAGAGAATGAGGTGTCCTGGGAGCCAAGTGAAGAACTTATGATGAAAACGAGGATAAGATAGACTATAAAATACTGCTGAAAGGGTCAAGTAAATGGAGATGACAAATTGGCTATTGGACTTGGTAACATGGAGGTTATTGGTCTTCTTATCTAGGGTAGTTTCAGTGCAGTGGTTGGGTCAAAATCCAGTTTACAGTGGGCTATTTAATTAATAGTTCAATTAACACACACACAATACACTAATGCCTAACACATTGTAGAAACCCAATAGAGACTTTGTTTCTTTGTTTGACAGAAGATATTACAACTTTACATACATTTTGAAAAATCATTGTTAAATGACACTAATGTATTATGCTTCAAACACTATTGAATAAAAGGACCTGCCATTGTTCAGTAGGAAAGCTATTGAAATAATCAGTATAGAGTAATAGATCACTCTCATTTTAAACCATCTTCAATTTTGACATTCCCATAAATGTTGCTAATAATTTTTCTGTAGTAACAATCTTCTGGTGATCGTCTTTGAGCTTTTTACAATGAAAATAGTAATGAATGGAAAGCTAGAAAGTTGTCCCTTGGAGACCAGAGTATTTAGCAAGTGACAGTTATATTTGATTCTTAGGTCTAAATTGTTTAGTCTGTTATGTTAATGACTGTCATCGCTGGAGTTGCCTTTCTGTAAGGCACATGTATTTTGTGCTTTCCTGTCTATTGTTGGTGATAACATAAGCACTTTTGTCCTTAGACTGATTTCTATATCCTGAGTTGGAGTGTCAATTGTGGTTCAAAATTAGGTATAATTTTCCACACTGTTAAATTGCTGTGCAAAAAGAGATGCAATTATCAACAAAAGGCTCAATGGAATAAACTTCTAGTAAGATGGTTTTGATGTTGTCTTTTCCTTTTTTAGAATACACACTAAAATAACCAAATATATTACAGCTCTTTTAAAAAGATTTCTTAGTTTACATTACTATTAGTCTGAAAAGGAAACAGAAGCCTTAGAAAAGAACACAGTCCAGCCGAAACCGGTTTGGCTCAGTGGATAGAGTGTCGGCCTGCGGACTGAGGGGTCTTGGGTTCGATTCCGGTCAGGGGCATGTACCTGGGTTGCGGGCACATCCCCAGTGGGAGGTGTGTAGGAGGCAGCTGATCGATGTTTCTCTCTCATCGATGTTTCTAACTCTCTATCTCTCTCCCTTCCTCTCTGTAAAAAGTTAATAAAATATATTTAAAAAAAAAAAAAGAAAAGAAAAGAACACAGTCCAAAAAAGCCATGTTATAGAGCATATGAAAATTAGTTCCTGAGTTTGAATGTATATATGCTCTTGGAAAATACTACTGTAATAATTAGCATATATACCACAAAGATATTGGCTGGTTCTTCACTGTTTTATTATAGAATTTGATATATTACATCTGGCCTTGATACATATGCACTGTTGGAAAACAATTATTCGTGAGATGTAAATACCAAGCATTCTTGTTTTTGTTTCTCTTTGTGATATCGGGAGTGTTGGTTCATCCCGTACTTCTAGTCAAGGACAATAAATAGCCAATGCATGATTTTTCTGGCCATTTTTAGGGAACACAGCTTTTATGGTTACTTTATGTCACAAAACATAGCCTCAATTTAGAGATTAGATTGTCCAGACCCATGTACTATTTAAAACTCACAACCTGAATAACGTCCAGGCTCATTGATCTTTTTAATGCCATACTCCCCTTTAATCATATGGTGTAGCTCATGAATCCCTTGCCAATGTAATAGTTTTATGCAATACAAAATGGTGCATAGAATTACATAGAAAGCCAGTTATGTTGAAATATAGTAATCATATTGAAATTAAATTTGTTATATGTAATGTTTGTGCTTCTTTATTAATTAATACACTAAGTAACAGATCTAATGATTACCATGACTTTACAGTAGAGTTGGACATGGGTGATATTTGGAGATATTTGCTATAATATTAATGTGATATGAAAGTATAATTTCTTCTGCTAATTTTTCCTTAATTGCTTTAACTGTAAAATAAATCATGTAGTTACTTAATAACCTAATTGAAATTGGATTGGATGACAGTTTACTTAGAAAGAAAGGCTATGCCTTAGAAACAGGAATCACCACATCTGAAAAATTTGAAAGGTTCTCCAAACCCTGAGCTCATCACTGTAGTTCCTGAGGCCTCATTTCTGAACTTGGTTTCTCAATGTAAACTGTAATCTATAATAATAAAATCTTAATATGCTAATTAGACCAGATGTCCTTCCGGATGACCTTCCGGACAAAGCCAGGGCTGCTAGGAAAGCACGGGTCCCGAGTGCCTGCCATTGAGAAACCAAGCTGGGAGAATGTCAAAATGATAGCTGCACAATCATTTTAAAGCTTGTCAGGATTCATTCATCCTCTCCAGTTCCTGTCCCTTTTATGTGTATAAAAGCATCACAGGATCACATTTTCTGTTGTCATTTGTATCTTTCAATCTCTTTCCTAAAACACCAAATGCAGTGCTAGAACTTTAGAGCTAGTCAGTACATGTGTGACTTCTGGACAAGTAGTGATAAAGTATTGAATTATTATATTTCGTATTTAAAAGTATTCATATTATAGTAGAAAGGCACATTAGAGAGGAAAATAGGAATTACATGAAAAACTGTACCTTGTCAGAGTCAGAAGGAAAACAATACTTAATTAACCCATAAGCCTTTTTCAAACAATGATGACATTCACTTGTACCAAATAAATCAAAGTATATATGTTTCTTTTATTAAGGTCTCTGTATTTTAGGTTCAATACTTTATTAAATTGCTCTCTTTAAACCACTGAATAAATTACGATGCTGCTGCTTTTTAAAGATAAATAACAAAATATCTCTTTATTGCAGTTACATATGGCATGCGCCAGTGGCTACAAGGAGGTAGTGTCTCTCCTCTTGGAACATGGGGGAGACCTCAACGCAGTGGATAATCAGTACTGGACCCCACTTCACTTGGCAGCAAAGTATGGCCAGGTAAGTGAGTTCCTGAGCTATTTTATAATCAATGCATCCTTTTATATTAATTTTATTTCAAATTATGTACTAATCATTATGTAACCTGACTTTTAATGGTATGGTCTTACTCAACAAATGTTTTATGAATAAAAAAACATTTACTTTTAAAATGACAAATAATAACATATATTCCTTAGGACTTGGCATACTAGCATACTGCATATTCTACTCAAAATCATTCAAGAAATGATCAAAAACATAAATATCCTTTATAATATAGACTTAACACAGTTTTCTTAATATTATATAGTTCTTATAAGTTTACTGTTTCATGAGACTGTAATAATTCTGTTTGTTTTCTACAATTAGTAGATGTAAAGTAAAATTACATTTTGTATTTTATTTTTCTCCATAAATTATATTTCATTTTAGTGAATGAGGGATGGGTAGCAATTCTTTCTCTGAATTGACTTTTTGCTATAGCTAATACATCTTAAGACACTAATACACAAATTAATTTTTACTAGGCACCCTTATATCCTGAAGAAGGAGCAAAATCACAGTCAGATAAAATGTGTCTTGGAGAGAGAGAGACATGTTGTATGTATCCATGACAAAAGATAAAGGAATATATTAAACTAATAAAACAGGTTAGCTATATAGTAAAAATACTTTCAACAGGTTTTATTGATGAAAGTAGATTTTAAAAAATGTTATTTTACTCTGTTATGTTTAACCATAAAAACATCATTTAATGATTAATATATATGCCAGATGTGAGACCTGCCAAGCCTCAGTGATATAAGGAACATAAGCTGAGTTCACTTGCTACTTCCTTCTTTTTTTTTTAATTTATTATTATTTTTTTTTATTGATTAAGATATTACATATGTGTCCTTGTCCCCACGTTACCCTCTACCCCCCACCCCCCCCACCCCCGCTCATGCCCTCACCCCCCCGTTGTCCATGTCCATTGATTAGGCCTATATGCTTGCATATAAGTCCTTTGGTTGATCTTTCCCCCTTACCCCCACCCTCCCCTACCTTCCCTCCAAGTCCCGACAGTCCAATCAATGCCTCTCCGTCTCTGGATCAGTCCTTGTTCATCAGCTTATGTTGTTCATTATATTCCACAAATGAGTGAGATCCTGTGGTGTTTATCCGCTCTCAAGTTCCATCCATGCTGTGGCAAATGGTAAGAGTTCCTTTTTCTTCTTCCTCTTCTTAAAGAATACCTTTCAGCATTTCATATAATGCTGGTTTGGTGGTGATGAACTCCTTTAGCTTTTTCTTATCCGTGAAGCTCTTTATCTGACCTTCTATTCTGAATGATAGCTTTGCTGGATAAAGTAATCTTGGTTGCAGGTTCTTGCTATTCATCACTTTGAATATTTCTTGCCAGTCTCTTCTGGCCTGCATGGTTTCTGTTGAGAAATCAGCTGACAGTCGTATGGGTACTCCCTTGTAGGTAACTGACTGTCTTTCTCTTGCTGCTTTTAAGATTCTCTCTTTATCTTTTGCTCTTGGCATTTTAATTATGATGTGTCTTGGTGTGGTCCTCCTTGGATTCCTTTTGTTTGGGGTTCTCTGCGCTTCCTGGACTTGTAAGTCCATTTCTTTCACCAGGTAGGGGAAGTTTTCTGTCATTATTTCTTCAAAAAGGTTTTCAATATCTTGCCCTCTCTCTCCTTCTGGTACCCCTATAATTCTGATGTTGGTACGCTTGAAGTTGTCCCAGAGGTTCCTTACACTATCTTCATATTTTTGGAATCTCTTTTCTTTTTTCTTTTTCGGTTGGGTATTTTTTGTTTTTTTGTATTTCAAATCTTTGACTTGATTCTTGGGATCCTCTTTTCTGCTGCTGGATCTCTGTAAATTATTCTTTATTTCAGTCAGTGTATGCTTAATTTCTAGTTGGTCCTTTTTCATGTCCTCCATGGTCTCCCTATACTTATTGAGGGATTCATTAAATTTATCGGCGGTTTCCATAAAATTCTTGAAAAACCTTATAACCGTGGCCTAAAACTCTATATCCAATCGTTTGCTTTCCTCCATTTCTGCCATTTGTGACCTGTTTCTTTGTCTCCGCATTTTGGCAGCTTCCCTGTGTTGATAGAGTGGCCCTGTGCGCCAGGTGTCCTGTAGGGCCCAGTAGCTCAGCCTCCCCAGTTACCTGGGGTGGACACTCTTGGTGCACTCTTGGTGCCTTGGTTGTTGTAGAATCACTGGGAGGAATTGACCTCTAGGCCAATTGGCTGTGAGAATCAGCTGTGTCTAAAGTGGGAGAACTTCTGTGCTGAAGACACCCTTCTGGGGCAAGACTTGCTTCAGTGGGGCTTTGGTGCTCACTGAGTCTGCTCCCTGAGTGCGTCCCTTATGGATCTGAGGAGTTGCAGTCTGGATGGACCCCCTCTGACCACTGGGTACAGTGGCTCCTGGATCTAAGGAGGTGCTAATTCAGCCTCTGCCTGAGGCCACACAGCAGGAGCCACGAAGAGGCTCAGCTGTGAAGCAATGCAAGCCGCTGCGGGGCCTTGGGCCTTCTCTTGGAAGTTCCAGGTCTGCCTGGTTCGGCTGCAGTTAGGTACATTCACATGCAAAAGCCTCTGCCGCAGCCTGGGTGGGGCGAGGTCTCAGGGAGTCAGAGGGCGGAGAAAGCAGCCATGGCCGATTCTCCGCCCGGTCGCGCGTCTCAGTGTTCCGGTAACGGCTGCAAGCACCTCTGAGGGAAAGCCGCCCTCAAGTTCGCTCGCTGCCGGACAGACCAGCCTCTCCCCGTATGAGTCCTGGGTCCCCAGAGACTTCCCGGAACCGGAGTTCAGAGCAGTCAGGAGCTTGTGACTCAAAAAGTCAGCCGCGTCCTCAGGCGCCACCCCCTTTCCTCGCGTGCGCGCGCCGCCGTACCTCTGCACTTCACCTCCGCAGCGCCTCTGGCTCTCAGCGTGCTTTTCTTTCCTTCTAGTTGTGGAATTTACACTCAGCCAGCCTTCCTGTTGTTCTGGATGATGTTTGCTCAGTCCTTTGCGGTAATTTTCAATTGTTGTGTGAGGCGATATTTTCCCGGTGTTTACCTATGCCGCCATCTTAGTTGCTCTCCGCTACTTCCTTCTTAAAGCTTCCTGAAGTTTCCTGCCACACAAAAGTCACAAGATAGAAGAATCAGTGATTAAACAGGCAGAGAGAATTAGTGGATATCAGTACTCTCACCCATTTACCTATCACATTAGAAAAACTTCCAAACTTTGGGTTTTCTCTTATTTTTCAACTAGAGGCCCGATGCATGAAATTCGTGCAAGAGTAGGCCTTCCTTCCCCCGGCTGCTGGCACTGGTTTCCCTCTGGCACCCAGGACTCGGGTCTCCCTCTGGAACCCGGGACTTGGGCTTCCCTCCTGCCGCTGGCAGGCACTCGGGACCCGTGCTTTCCTAGCAGCCCTGGCTTTGTCCGGAAGGTCGTCCGGAAGGACATCTGGTCTAATTAGCATATTAAGCTTTTATTATTATAGATTACAGTTTACATTCAATATTATCTTGTATTAGTTTCAGTGTACAGCACAGTGGTTAGACAGTTATATCCGTTACAAAATGTTTCCCCTGATATTTCCCGTACCCAACAGGCACCATACATAGTTATTACAGTACTCTTGACTATATTTCCTATGCTGTATCTTACATCCCTGTGACTATTTTATCGTCCCAATCTATCCTCCCAATCTCTTCACCTCTTTCACCCAGCTCCCAACTCCCCTCTCATCTGGGAATCAGATGTCTGTGTCTATGAGTCTGTTTCTGTTTTGTTTGTTCATTTATATTGTTCTTTAGATTTTACATATAAGTGAAATCATATGGTATTTATCTTTCTCTGACTGATTTATTTTAATTTATTTTACGTAGCATAATACCCTCTAGGTCCATCTGTGCATTCACAAATAGTTAAGATTTTCTTTGAAGTTTGGGGTTTCTAAATCTATGTTTTCAGCCTAGAGAAACATGGTATTGGAATTACATGGAAAATACAATTCAGTGGCTGCATTTGCTTTGGGAGATGCAGAGTAATTAAGACTGATGTTCTTATTACTCCTCCTCCAGTGTGCCAGCTACATTTCCAACACTCGTCATTTATTAACATTAAGTGACTTAAGAAACTTTCCAATGGCTTTATTTTTTTTTAACCCAGTTGCAAAATATTTTCCCCCCAACTTTTAGAAACCATTATTCCTCACTTTTTTTTTTTAGGTCTCCTATACTTTCTTCTATGTTCCAGACTCTCCCCACCACACGAACACACCTATATTTGAATCTGCCCAATGAAATGGTTAAGCCAGCCTGTTTGGAGAGCTTCCGTAGCCCCCTCATTGGCTCTGAGTACCAGCCACCACTCGCTGGCTGTGTGAACCTAATAAGCCTTAATAGTCCTTCTTCCACCGAGCCCCAGGGTCTTCAATTAGTGACAACCATCAACACATCTGTTTACGGGGGAATTGTTACATAGCTCAGAAGACTGTTGAGAATAAAGAAGGCAAATGCATCACTGAAGTATCAAAGAGCATATGTCCTAGTCAATTGATCCAGCTGTTAGATTTGTACAGAGAGATGTTGGACATAATGTTTTCTAGCAATGGCCATTTACAGGGTGCAAATGAGTCAGATTTTTAAAACAATTTCACCTTTATCCTCTGCTTCTGTAGAAAATAAGTAGCCATTAATTCTGTATTTTATAAATCCTTATACATTTTAGTACAAAGGTTAGGATCTGAAGATTATATATGTCTTTTCAGTTTTGCTCCATTAAACCTACTAGAATGGGTTCTTCACCAGAATGTAAGCTCCAGAACAGCAGAGATGTGATTTGTGTGGCCCACTGAGCCATCCTGTAGCCAGCAGAGTAACTGAAGGAATTAAATGGACAACTCAATCAACCAGGAACTAAAAGCAAAGTTCTGCTGAGAGTTAGAGTGAGGATTTAACGTTAGGATATATGACAGCAGAACAAAAATATTCTTCCTCAATTCAAACTAAAATTAAGGAATAACTAAGAGATTTATGTTAATAGAAGATTTTGAGTAAATTGTATCTTTATTTTTTGTCAAGAATATACCATATGATATCTAGAATTATTTTAAAAATTCTTTACACTACCACTTAATATTCATTTTGGAAATGATATTTTAGGAACAGGTTTTATTTGAATTATCAATTTGTATGCATGGGAGATTTGTAACTCTCCAAAGACATTTATTGTAAATAAATGCATCTCAGTTGAGAAAAAATGTGATAAATGCTAACGTTTTAGAAAGACTCGTGGCATTTTTAGAGTCATTCACAGCAATTTCAGTTTTTTATAAATATCTTATAAATATAAATACCTTTATGGAAAAGTAGTTTATAATTTATAACAGTATTTATAGTATTTATTACTTTCATTTATACTTAGATGGCATATATATTTTAAAACTTCCCTTTATACATACATTAACTTTTTCATTGAGAACAAAGAAATACCTGTTCTTCTCTAAAACTGAGAACTGAACAAGTTATGTGAGCAACAGTTCTTTCAAGAGTTGTACAGAAGATAAAATTTGATTCTAGCCTTGTACATATTTTAGTGTTATTAATAGCATTGGAAATAGTATAGTAAAAGATAAGAAAATGATTGTGAAATGTTGAAATCTAAATCTCTTCAAAAGTACTTTATATCACACAACTCTTACATCTTAACGTTCAAAGGAGTCATTTGTATTCTCAAATACATTTTTACCTAAGTATGTAAGAATGGAGATATATTTAGATTTTTTCTTCAGATATTTCTTCTTTGCTTTGGAAAAAACAACACTGTCTGGATTTGCTCCTACCCCTCTGAGCACACAGTATTGAAAAGCTCTGTGTTCTGTCCTAGGTTCTCTCCCTTCCCAATATTTATGTCTTTAGAAGTCTTCCTCCTACAGCTTCAAAGACTCTGCATGTTCATGTCTCCCAAAGCCTCCTCTCTTCTCATGTCTCTCCCAAGTTCCAGACTCAAGAGGACCACTGCCCAGATAGTAATTCCTGTCAACCTGCCTTCAAACTCAACTTGTGTACAAAGAGAATGATCATCTTCTTTTTCCCATTTCCAATCTGTTGCCTTCTTTTCTATTTAATCATTTACTGGGCATTATTATTTTCTTATTTTTCCTCTCCTCGCTCATAACTATTAAACCACTGAGCCCCAAAACTCTTACCTAGTAAATGGATTTTAGCTATATTCATGTGTGTCCTCGCTGCCTTCACCCTCATCCAGTGCTTCAGCATCTCTACATCAGGATTATCCTGCCAACCTCCTAACAGAGCTCCCTGGCCCTCCCCCACGCCATTCTAAGTACAAAAATAATCAAACCATTTCAACTCAACATCCTTTCCATTGCTGTCGATATGTAATGCCCATGCCATAAAATAATTTATGAATCCTGTGTGCCTGGGCTTCTGCTTAACTCTCCAGCTCTAGTTCTCCTGCCTTCTCCCACCAGGTTTGAGGATGAAGCCATAGTGAACTTCTTTCAGATTCTGTAGTATGCCATCATGCACATCCTTTACATGTTCTTTGCTGTTCTTGAAAATGTTAAATGGTCAAATCTGACCTAACTTTGCAGGACTACACTGTGATGTTATGCTAATGCATTCTCATTTCTCCAACCTTAAATGCCCCTTGAGGCCATGAATGTGTATTATTTACTGATGAATCTTCAGTATCCAGCATGATGTTTCCTATTTCAATCATCTCTAATGTTTCAGACAAACCTGGTGAAACTTCTTTTGATGCATCAGGCAAATCCAAACCTTCTGAACTGCAATGAAGAGAAGGCCTCAGGTAGGTAATGAGTGTCCTGGGACCACTGAGCAGTCAGTGTTTCCTTCCTGTCGTATATAAGTTGTTCATCATGAGCGTAACTAGGAAATGAGAGTCAGCCTCTCTGAGAAGCTCTGTGAAAACCAGCCCAGTTTAATATGATTCACGATTCAGATGCCCTGATCCAGGACAAGGGGACATTAGAGAGCAGTTATGTTAATGGGTTACTGTGTCCTTCCTTTACAACTTGCTTTTCAGGCTTAAACTTCCAGGCGGCGATTCCTGCAGTGTCATTACTTTAAAAGATTTTTTTGCTTTTGTGTTAACTAGTTTCTCATCAGACCCAATACATGCTTGTTCATTAAGGTATTTTTAAATAGTTAACATAACAGTATTTTTTTCTGCACAGATGTTTATACTGCTAGAAATAGAGACTGATATGCTAAAGATAATTTAAAAGTTTAAAAAACTTAATTTAATGTTACTTATTTTAAAAAATATATTTTTGAAAATTTCTAAAGTTGTAAAACAATATTTTTTGATTTTTTTTTAAAGAGAGAGAGGAAAGAAGAGAAAGAGGAAGGGAGGGAGAGAAAGAGAAGGAGAGAGAAACATTGATTTGTTTTCCCACTTATTTATGCATTCACTGGTTGATTCTTGTACGTGCCCTGACCAGGAATTGACCCTGCAGCCTTGGCATATCGGGATGACACTCTAACCAATTGAACTACCCAGCCAGAGCTACAGTTCTTTTTACTAGTATTCTTTTATATGTTCATATATGCAGTTTAAAAATTGATGTAACATTCATTTTTTAGCTTTTAGAAAATTTGACAACAATGCTACTACTCATAAATTACTTTGGTATATTAAAAAAAAGAATTCTATCCTGACCAGTGTGGCTCATTTGTTGAGTGTCCACCCATGAACCAGGAAGTCACAGTTCAATTCCCAGTTAGGGCACGTGCCCAGGTTTTGGGCTGAATTCCCAGTAGTGGGCATGCAGAAGGCAGCCAGTTGATGATACTCTCTCATCATTTTTGTTTTTATCTCTCTGTCTCTCTCTTTCCCTCTCTCTGAAATCAATAAAAACATATTTTAAAAAAGAATTCTAAGCAACAAAGAGAAAAGTCTAGTAGAAAGAACAAAATATAAAAATTTTGATGGTAGTAATTGATCAGAATAACTTATATTTACTTATTCTTCTTGTTGCTATAACTACTAGCCTCAAATTTATTATTTGATATACTTATAAGAGGGAGTATGATTAATTGATAAACATCTAGTTTAAGGCAAAATGAGGGGTTTTTTTCTATTTCTTACATTATTGGAATTAAGTATTATTATTGAGTGTTTTTTCATCTTTGCTAAAATAAACTGATGATTTAACAAACAGAACTATGATGGCTTGACAGTCTCAAATGTTACAACAGGCTAATATTAATGATAGTGTAGTAATTTTAACATGAACAACAAAAAAGTATGTCTAATAAATATGAATTAATAGTTTTCTTCTATTTTTTAATAAATATATTTATTTTGAAATATATCACACCTTCTGTTAACTCTAGTCTAGTTCTAACATATCACAATTTCAAGTTCATATCTTTATCTTCTTGCCCAGAGAAGGGAATAAATATAATTGACCCTTGACTGCATAGGCTCCCATCTGTCACACTTCCACCTTTAGGTCTAGTGTCAACTGTGCCAAACAGACATCCAAGGTAATGGACAGTTCTGGAGCCCCAGGGAATGACTAAATCCCCGGTCTACACTCAGCCTGACCACCTCCGGCATAGTGTATGGTGACTCAGACAATTTTGTCCCTGTTGGTCATGCCATGTCTACCATCAATGTAACCCCTTTTCTATGCCATGTTGGTCATGAGAGACACTATGATGTGATCATAGGAGTCCCTCAATAAACATTTATTGATTGAATGAAAATATTTCTCTCACACACAAGGGACAAAGACCAATAATGCAGTGAGAGGTTAAGAGTAAATGCAGGATATCCCAGCATCTTATCCAAGAGCAAGAAGAATGAACCAGATAAAACAATAGTGCAGTGAGAAGTGAACTTGACACATATTTTGACTGAGCAAATGAAAATTATCACAGTGCCATATTAGGTTCTTGCTGTTTTGTGTTTCTTAAACTTGGAATGGACACATAAAAATTATGTGGGGAAATAAAAGCAATTTGGGGCATAGCTGTTCGGTGAGGCAGAAATAATCTCCCTAGGTAAAGAAGCTGAGCAGCCTCCTAGTCATTATGTGATTATGATTTAACCTAAAGTAAATGATGATAAAATCCTGGCATAAGTACCTTCCTGTGGTAGGTGAATTACTGCTTCCAGCCCATAAAACCACATAAGTCAAGTTTATAGACAAAGATGGTCATGCAGTTTAGTTACGAGGGTTGAAAGGAGCAGATGACTCCATTAGGTTCCTGGTTGTTATTAATGTGAATTTTTCTCAGGATTTATTGATTCCTAGTATCATTTGTTAATAAGTATAAGTTGATTAATTCCCATCTTTGTTGCTGTCCAGATATGTTCAGATGTCACTGTTAATGTGTAATTTATAAGGAACTATAGTAATCCATATTTCAGATAGAGAGGCTAGAGTCTAGACACACTATTTTAATACATAGCTATTTATTTGTACATCTACCCATTTAGTAAAATGTTTTAGAATGCTTCCTACATGTTTTATAATAGCCCAGTCATTCTGAATGTATAATATTTTTTATCATTTTGCTTCATACTCACCAAGATGAAGGAAGAGTTTCCTGACAATAAAATGACATTAAGTTCTCTCAAGCTTAGCTTCTCGATGATTTACATTTTACACATCTCCTCTTAGTGAAATTATTTTTATATATGTTTCATTTCAGTTATAATTAAAGATGTTACTAAAGTGAAAAAGACAGTATTTTTAAATGGCAGCACTGCAATTTTGTTCCTGGCATAAACTTTTAATGTTTTTATTTTTGCTACATGTGCTGATAAATTTTAGCATTTTCAGAACTATAGAAAGTAAATAGTTTTCTGTGGTTTCACCATCCACTTTTTCTGATTTTCTTATTGGTTCTTGTAGATATCGCTGCATCTGAGTTTATTGAGGAAATGCTGCTGAAAGCCGAAATTACCTGGGAAGAAAAAATGGAAGAGCCTTTATCTGTGCCTACCTTAGCACAAGAGGAACCCTATGAAGAGATCCTTCATGACCTGCCAGCTCTTTCCAGTAAGCTGTAAGTGCCTTCTTTATACAAGGAGAAAGCTGTAGCCCTGGTTCTCTGCTGACTTAATTATTCTCATTTGTCTTCCCCACTAATCACCAGTCATTCATTCTAAAGTAAATATTAAGCCTATCTCTCAACTGAAAGCTAGAAAATTGAAGTTACATGTTAATATATTTATCAAAAGATACATGGTGACAATCACGAGTTTAGCCTACTCTTATGAATATGCTCTGATTTTGTAAAACATCACTATTTCAATAATTAGATATATTTGTCACCATGAGAGCAGAGATAATATTTTAAACACACTCCATGTTGTTGTTTTTTAGCTAAACGGGTATGTAAGGTTGCCAATGACTATCATAATGGCTAGATTTCCTAAGGTAGGAAATATAAATATTCATTTTTTCTCTCTAAAGTATAAAACCAATGATTATTTTTGTTGTCTGAAATATCTCCTAAATACTAACACATGCTGCAAGGGGGATATACCTTAAAAACATCATGCTAAATGGACAAAGTGAGAAAGAAAAGTCCATATATGATATGATTCGATTGATATGAAATGTCCAGAATTATCAAATCCATGCAAACAGAAAGCATATGAGTGTTTTCCAGGAGTGGGCAGAAGGGGTAAAGAGGAGCGTCTCTGAATGGATGTGAGTCTTTGGAAATGATGGAAATGTTCTGGAAGTAGGTGGTTACACAAACCTGTGAATATAAAAAGCAGAGAAGTGTACACTTTAAAAGCATGTATTTTGTGCTCTGTGAATTATATCTCAACAAAATAAATAAACACATAAAGCAAAAAAGATAAAATATAGTTCAGGTTGAAAGCAAAATCTGCTGTGTACAACCAGTGAGACCTAGAGGAAGTTGCCTCCTTGTATAAACACGTTTCTTTTCTGCCGGTGGCGATTATTTCTAATATGTATTTGGGACATTCGAAGGGACTTTGAATAAATAGCACTATCTAGCTTCTGGACAATTGGAGAAATAATCAAAGAGAAAAAAGGAGTCCAAATCACACCTGCTCCATGATAGAGGGTGCATGGGAGGACATAGCTAAATGTGGCAGCTGGAAGGGGTTGTGAGTATATTCCATTGTTGGGCAGCTCTACCAACAAGGCACTTAGAGACCAGATGAGGCCTCCCAAGGGAGGGGCTCCCAGACCAGGTCACAGTGTGGAGGAGGAGGAAGAGCTGTGCTCTCTGCAGGAAGGCTTGCTGCAAGAAGAAGGAGACAGGGGCTCAGGAGCCACTCTTCCCAGATTCAGACAATTCATTCCACTTCTTAAATGTAGCGGGAGGCCCAGAATTAGCATGACTCCATTTCTCTTCCTGGGAATTTGAAAAGATGCTGCCTACAGACATGCCCCCAAGGCTGTTAACAATGAATACGTGAGCTCAAAGAGGAAAACTCTTATTTCAGAGCCTGTTCCCTCTTGCTGGCATTCAAAAACACTTTTAATTTAAAATTAATCTAGATAATTCAGAGGCTAAAGCCATATGTAAATACACTGACCTCTACTTAATACTAAGATATATTCATTATTGAATTGTTGTTTTTTTGATCCTCACCTGAGGATTTGTTTTTATTGACTTGAGATATAGAGAAAAGCATCTATGTGAGGGGAAAAACATCAATCAGTTGCCTCCAGTACATGCACCAACCAGGATTCAAACCGCAACCTAGGTATGTGCCCAGATTGGAAATGGAACCCACAACCAACTGATGCTTCAACCAGGGGAGCCACCCTACCAGGGCTGGATTGTATTTTTTTAACTTTGTTGTAAATTTTTGTGTTAGACACTATGCTAAGAACCTTCATGGGTTATCTTATTCCATATTCTAAGCCTTATTTTGTGTGATAAATCATGAATTAGCCAGAATAAGAACATCACTTCTACTGTGCCCCACCATTATTAGTAAATGTCTTTCTATGTTTTAATATATAATCAATAGGATATTCCTACATTATTGTATTATCCCTTATTTCATGTTTCTAATCTCTCTTTTATCCAGTGAACATTATTATGGTCTTTATTTGTTACCTGGTTTTCAAGTTCATGTTTCAAATGAGCAGGTTAGATTTAACTCCAAAGATTCTTTCTAAGTATAATATTCCCAATCTGGTCTCTATTTGTAAAGCTTGTAGGTTTCCTCTCTCTGCTTTAAATTTACAACTGTTCTCATATTTGACTGCTGTTCCCTACTGCATTCTTTCTTTCCTGCTGACTGGGTGCCTCCTCGCTGTGCTGTCTTTTCTGTCCTTAGATATATATATTTTAGTGCCTAAATACCGTTAGTGCTGCTATGGAACCAGCTGCTGCTGAATATGCCGTTTGGTATTTGAACATGGAAATGCTCTCCTAGGGTTTTTAATCACGGGGGAGTTCTGATATGTGCTAACTTTTGTTTCTAATTTTCTATTTCATGGAGTTCTTGAGTTGGAAGTCACAAAAATTCTGCACAATGCCTAAATAGAGTAATTTACTAAACAATTGTGGGTTTTCACTTATTAACAGTAATGATAATTTATAATAACAGTAATAAAAGCTTTTTGTTGTGCAGTTAGAAGGTGTCAGGACTTGTGCAAAGTAGTTTACATGGATAATGCCATTTAACCCTCAACGCAATACCTGAAAGTACTTGCTATCACTGTCCTTTTTACATCACTGTCCGATATTCAGACTATAGTGACCTGAGTCAACACACACAAATATAGCCAACCTTACACTGTTTCCGTGAGAAGGGCCTTTTTTCCCCTTTCTTTGTTGATTAAGGTATTACATATGTGTCCTTAACCCCATATTGCCCTCCCCACCCCATTCATGCCCTAACCCAGGGGTGGGCAAACTTTTTGACTCGAGGGCCACAATGGGTTCTTAAACTGGACCGGAGGGCCGGAACAAAAGCATGGATGGAGTGTTTGTGTGAACTAATATAAATTCAAAGTAAACATCATTACATAAAAGGGTACGGTCTCTTTTATTTTTAGTTTTATTCATTTCAAATGGGCCGGATCCGGCCCGCGGGCCGTAGTTTGCCCACGGCTGCCCTAACCCCTCTGGTGTCTGTGTCCATTGGTTATGCCTATATGCATGAATACAAGTCCTTTGGTTGATTGCTCCCCCTAACCCCTCCCCTCTCCTACCTTCCCTCTAAGGTTTGAGCATCTGGTCGATGCTTCTCTATCTCTGGATCTGTTTTTGTTCAACAATTTATGTTGTTCATTATATTCCACAAATGAGTGAGATCATGTGATATTTATCTTTTTCTGACTGACTTATTTCATTTAACATAATGCTCTCCAGCTCCATCCATCCTGTTGCAAATGGTAGGAGATCCTTCCTTTTTACAGCAACATAGTATTCCATTGTGTAGATGTACCACAGTTTTCTAACCCACGCATCTGCTGATGGCCATTTAGGCTGTTTCCAAATCGTACCTATGGTGAATTATGCTGCTATGAACATAGAGGTGCGTATATCCTTTCTGATTGGTGTTTCTAGTTTCTTGGGATATATTCCTAGAAGTGGGATCACTGGGTCAAATGGGAGTTCCATTTTTAGTTTTTTTAGGAAACTCCATACTGTTATCCACAGTGGCTGCACCCAGTCTGCATTCCCACGAGCAGTGCATGAGTGTTCCTTTTTGTCTGCATCCTTGCCAGCACTTGTTTGTTGATTTGTTGATGACAGCCATTCTGACACATGTGAGATGGTACCTCATTGTAGTTTTGATTTGCATCTCTCAGACGATTAGTGACTTTGAGCATGTTTTCATATGTCTCTTGCCCTTCCTTATGTCCTCTATTTAGGTCCATTGCCCATTTTTTGATTGGGTTGTTTATCTTCCTTTTGTTAAGTTGTATGAGCTCCCTGTAAATGTTGGAGATTAAACCCTTATCAGAGATAACATTAGCAAATATGTTCTCCCATGCAGTGGGCTTTCTTATTGTTTTGTTAATGGTTTCTTTTGTTGTGAGAAGGGCCTTTTTATTTGTGATTCTAAAAGTTCTAATTTGGCTTTAAAGAGGAAATTGTTAACTGAGTTTCATTGTTAAGGCCAGTCAGCTTTAGCTGCGACACATTGTCAATTTAGGTTGAATGTTTAGTATGCCAACTTCAGAAGACAGTCTGTAATCTGGGAGAGATTTCCCTTACTGGGCTCTGCACTTACTGGTTCTGGGGCTTGGGTAACGTAATGAAACTCTTGGCCACATTTTTCCTCAAGTGTAAAATATGGGTGTTTAACCAGGCCTTTATCGCTATCTCCTGAGAGGGGAGTCTCTTGATTCCTTAGAATTCTCAAGTGTCTTTGTTATTCAAAAACCCCTTGGATCATACTTAAATGTCTGCTAACATAGATTCTCTTATCATACCCACATTTACGACTCAAGGAGTGGGGTGGTCACTCCAGAAAATCCAATGATGTGATTAAAAGATGGGGGCATTGAGCCAGTCTGACCACCAGAAGGGTAGAAAGACTGGAGACTGAGTTCAAACACATGGCCAATGATAGAGTCAGTCATGCCTACAAAATGAAACCCCAATAAAAACTCTGACAACAAGCTTGATGGACTTCTTGGTTGGTGGACTGATCAGGAGGGTGATGTGCCTTGACTCCATCAAGGGAGGACATGAAAGCTCTGCATTCAAGACCCTCCCAGCCTCACCCTGTGCATCTATTTGTTTGGCTGGTCCTGATTTGTATCCTCTATAACACAGCTGTAATAATAGCAGGTATACTGTTTTCCTGAGTACTGTGAGATCTAGCGAATTATCTAACCTGAGGGGTGTTATGGGAACCCCCAAATTTGTAGCTAGTTGGTCCAAGTGTAGGTGGCATAGAGATTCCCAAATGTGTTGCTGGCATCTGAAGTGGTGGCAGCCTTGTTGGAGAAGATGCCCTTAACTTGTGGCGTCTGTGCTAACTCTCGGTGGTCAGGCTCAAATGGTTCTGCAGTACCACAGAGCGATGATGGTGGTGATTGATGATGCCT